CATAGTATCGGCCCGTTGCGCTCACTTGGGGAGTGAATCATCGGACGGAAGATCTTCCTCTCTGTCTCTCCTCTCTGTATATCCGCCTTTCCAATGAAAAAATAATAAAAATAAATCTTTAAAAAAAAAAAAAAGATTTTGGAAAAACAACAATAGGTTTTGTGATCAGTGAACATTTTATGGTAAAGATACATCATGATTAGATTGTTCACTCTTAAGTACTGACTGATGAATTTTTAATTGTTATTTCAATGAGTAAATTAAGCTAATATGAACAATATTTTGAAAACACTGACATCATATATACCTAACTTTCAGTATAAAAGCCTTAAACTCCAATAAAACAAAGCCATATTGACAAATAATTAAAACATTTAATGACACAATTTCTTAATTCTTTACACAAATCCTTCTGAATTATGAAACAGAGACAGCAAAATTAGACATGTGAGACATTATTTAAGGCATATTAAAGAAACCAAATGAAGTGCATTTTTCCTAAATAACATTAAATTTAAAGACATGGAAATTAGCAGTGTTCGTGGAGGTACATGATCAGTATAATAGTACATAGAAAAATAAATGTAACAAAAGCTATCTGGAACACAAGACATATCTGCTTGAAAGATTATAGATTGGGACTGACATAGAGAAGACGCTTAAGCTTCCATCGAGTAAACCAGCATCACGATGGACACATGGGTGTGCTCTGGCTTTTCCACTCTAAACCTAGATTACTTAAGAAGGATTGAGAAAGGCAGGGAAAAACTTCCCTTGTGTTTGGGCTTCTATTCCCCCACCACCACCACTTGTAAAACTGGATAAAACTTCTGGATTCTGGCTTTTGCCTGGCCAGAGAAAGCCATGGGGACTTCTGGAAAGTGAACGAGTGGATGGAAGTTCTCTCTCTCTTCTTCTCCCTCTTTCTCTGTTAGTTTCAAAGCAATATTTGCAAAGAAAATATTGTAAGGTCACATACATACATTTTCTAAAGTTACTTTGATAATTGGTCAATTATTATGCTTTCCGTGTTATATACTTTCTCATAAACTCTATCTGGGGCTGATAAATGATCTCTTACATTTATACAACATTAAGATTTGCAAAGCTATTCCCTTTTATTCTGTCATTGTAATAGCTTCAAAACGGTTTGAGAAAAATACGATTATCGCAATTGTACACATAAGGACACAGATAAGCCAGGCTGGGTATTTCCCTTAGGTTTTACAGCTAATTAACGATAAGGGCTGGAGAACAAGCAGACCTGTCAAGAGTTCTGTGGAGACATTCCTTTTCTCCATTTTGTATCCTCTCAAATGCAAGTTCTCATTACATTTTCTTCTGTGCTTTTGAATTCAAAAACTTTACTTGCTACCAGTGGTTGACTTTTTGAACTATCACAGGAACCTGCTGGTTTGTCCTGTCTTGGGGTACGTTGTGTTTTGCATGTGTTTTTTTAGTGATCTTTATTAACTTTCCCTCAACCTATCCTTCATTTCATTTTTTACCCTTACCTTTAAAAGTTGTTCAACTTCATCCTTTGGTGCACAGAATAGAGAAAAAATAATAGCAGTTTTTTTTTTTTTGTTAACTTTCTTAAGCTGAAAGTAGCTATGCAAAGCATCATATTTAGATTAGTTTAATTTGAGACAAAAGTGGCATTTGATGGCACTCTGGATAAAATTGCCAATGCTACTTCACATAGTGAAGCACATATTGGAGTGATTCAAGGACTAATGTTAAGAAAAACGGAATGCAGGATTAACAAATATGTGTAAGGTAAAGAATTGTACTTCACACAAGAACAGATGGATTTTTCACTTTCTAACTCATCTGTCTTTTCAATAATGATAACCTTCACTCACAAAACAAAAATAAGATAAAATATGTGATAGCTAGTTCTTCATCAGATTACAAATCAAGGACCTAAACTACATCTGGGTTTTTGTTTGTTTTTTTTTTTTGTTTTGTTTTGTTTTGTTTTTTCATCCAGAAACCATCAAACTGTTGCGGGAAAGCATGGGGAGCACTCTACAAGATCTAGTCACTAGGAAAGACTTCTGAGACAAGAAACCAAAAACAAAGAATCAAAGCACAAACAAATGGGATTACATTCATCTAAGATGCTTCTGTGAAGTAAAGGAAAGAATAAGCAAAGCAAAGATACAAAGAGTGTGAGACAAAATTGTGTATCACACAACAAATAGAGGACCAGTACCCAGGATTTACAAAGAACTTTAGAAACTCAACAGCAGCAAAACAAGCAATTCTGCAAACACACTGGTGAAAGTAATGACAACATTTTTCAAAAGAACAAATTCAAATGGCTAATAGACATTAAAAAAACGCTCACATTCCTGGACTATTGGCAAAGTGCAAATAAAAACCATGTGGAGGCTCCAACTATTTCCTGTGAGAAGGGCCTACTTTAAGAAATTGCTAAAAACAGCTTCTGGTGAGGCTGTAGGGGGAAAGGTACCTTACCCCCCTGTCCTTGGGAATGTAGATTAGCGCAACCACAACTGAAGTCAGTATGGGGAGTGCTCGGACAACTGAAAAACGATCTCCGTTATGACCCGGCTCTTCCACTCCTGGAAATATATTCAAAGGAAGTGAAATCTGCATATGAGAAAGTGACCTGTAACCTCATAGAAAGAGTAGCACAAACCACACTAGTAAATAAATGGAAATATAAATAAATAAATAAATAAATAAATAAATAAATAAATAAATAGCTTAATTAAGTATCAAATACATGCACATTGAAAGAGGAATGAGTAAAGAAACGGTAGTACATTTACTCCACAATAAAAAAAAAAAGTATAATTATGCCATTTCCAATGAAATGGTCCCAACTCTTGACCATTAATCTCAGTGAAATAAGCTAAATACAAAACAGATGCAGGTAAAGAGTATATACATATTCTCCTAGGTGAACTGCATAAAAATTAGCATACTAAGAAATAAAGATATTTTGCAGAATTCATCTCTATTCCCTAATAAAAGGAGGACTCTCAATTCAATATACCTCAATACTATGATATTGGATTGTCTAACTTTGCCCATACCCACAGAGCCATGATATACTTAAATAATAGAATGTTAAACTTGGAACTGTTGGGCCCAGCATGGTGGCCTAGCAGCTAAATTCCTTGCCGCATAAGGGCACAGGTTCTAATCCTAGTAGCCCTGCTTCCCATCCAGCTTCCTGCTTGTGGCCTGGGAAAGCAGGAGAGGACAGCCTAAAGCCTTGGGACCCTGCACCCACGTGGGAGACCTGGAAGAAGTTCCTGGATCGTGGCTTCAGATTGGCACAGCACCAGTGGTTGCGGCCACTTGGGGAGTGAATCATTGGACAGAAGATCTTCCTCTCTGTCTCTCCTCCTCTCTGTATATCTGACTTTGCAATACAACTAAAATAAATCTTTAAAATGTTGAACTGTTACTAAAGGTTGCTACTACCACGATAATATGGGAGGAAATGGAAGGTTGGAAAAATGATGATGTTTTCCTCACATTCTAATTATCTTAATTCTTATATAGCATTGAGCATCCTAACACATTCCATTTATGTATAAAAATAGCAATTCTGACACAGGCAAAAAATAAAGCTTTAAAGCTATTCTAGGTAACTTTACATAGGAGCAATAAAAATTAAAAGAAGATATATCTTCGTGGAGTGTATCTTTATCAATATTTTAAAACAGTATATTGTTTCAATAAGGGAGTTTAATTTTATTGTTTCTTCAAATACTCATAGATTTTTATGGTACACTACAAAAGGCAATCAGATATGTGCTGCATAATCTGACCAAACCATGAAGCTAGACTTCTCACTTATTCACTGTTCCTTTGGGTTTGGAACCTATTCTCTGCCCTACTCAACTTCTTTCTTCATCATATTGTATACTGTTTTTCCTTTCTAAACTGCTTAAAAAATATGGACTACACTACTGGCGAAATGGGGAGGGAGAAAGAACAAATCCCTATACCTGCAAAATTGTATGATGGAAAACATTTAACGTAATTTTTAAAATACACTATTGTGAATTGCTGTAACCTCACCATGCTTTTAAATGCAAGAATTTGCTACATCTTTCTGTGTTTTGGTACTCATTATTCAAACATCATCTTTTCAAAACCGCCCCAGAATATTTGGTGAATATCCTTAATTAGCACTGACCAATGATGCCTTTAAATTCTGAGACAGACAATAAAATTATTCATATTTGAGTTGGACATAATAGCCTAGTGGCTAAAATTCTTGCCTTGAATGCGCTGGGATTCCATGTCAGCATTAGCGTCTGTCCTGAGTGCCCCACTTCCCTTCTGGCTTTCTGTTTATGGCCTGCAAAGGAGTTCAAGGGTGGCTCAAACCTTGGGACACTGCACTTGTGTGGGAGACCTAGAAGAAGCCCCTGACTTCTGGCTTCAGGTTGGCTCAGCTGTGGCTGTCGCAGACACTTGGGAAATAAACCTGCGGACAGAAGATTTTTCTCTCTGTCTTTCCTTTTCTGTAGAAATCTGCCTTTCCAATACAATTAAATAAATGCTTTTAAACCATTTATATTTATGTATTTGGTTTATTTAATTTAACATGTTGATCTCCAAGTTCATTCATCCTGCCTAACATCGATTTTATTCTTTTATGACTGAATTCTTCTTTACTGCATTGTCACTTTTTCAAGTATGTTTTTATTTATATGAAAGCTAGATTAAAAGGAAATAAAACAATAAATGTCAGTATCCAAATTCCTATGATTTCTGGACCAAGCCGTACTGAATCCTCGAACTCCATCCATATCTCATACATGTCTAGCAGGTTCTGAAATACTTGAAACATCATGGCTTATCTCTCACATATGTTAGCCGGAAGCAGGACTGAGGAAGAGTAGAACAATCTTGAACCACACATTCCAATATGAGATGTTGTCATCCCATGCTGTACTATGGCACACAGCTGCATTACATAGCCTTTCAAAAATCATACTCACACTATAGTGCTTGCTTCAGCAGCACATATAGTAAAATTGGAATGACACAGAGAAGATTAACATGGCCCCTGTGCAAGGTTGGCATATTCACACTATAACCTGTATAATATTTCAATTAATAAATGTCTCCTTTCTTTTCTCTTTTGAAATACTTTATATGAACTCTATGTGATTCTGTATATTTTAATTAACAAAAGTCCCTTTTACTCCCTATTTTTTCAATGCTTCATGCATTCTATCTGAAAGAACATTTCTATTTTTACAAAAGTATTTAGATATATCCTCCTTCCTAAAATATGTCATGTAAAATAATAGTAATAATAATAATAATAAATTAAATAAAGGAGATACACCAGGGAAAATAATAATGTGAACAAAAAATGGAAAAAGATATCATCACACCTGTAATCTAAGTGGAAATGGGTATGAGAGTTTTCCAAGAAATATTTTTACCATAAATCCATCAGCAGTAGACGAGGAATGACTGTGCTAGGGGTTCTAACCGACATCATTTTTGTAAAGATTTGTAGACTGTCAAGCCAATCAATATGGAATGCCACTGTGCTGTGTTTTTAATACTAACAGTAATGAAGTTGAGCAAATATTTTCCAACTGAATATTGACCATTCATGTTTCTTCTTTTTGGTGAATATTTGCTATTAAATTGCTCTCTTCTGTTCTTTAATTTAGAGGAATTTTGTTTATTTTCTGAAGAATAACTCTATGACGGATTCTGTACAGTAAATATGTTTTAACAAAGCAATGAATTAATTTTCTATATTGGATAGCGTAGTTCAATGTTTTCAATTTATATACATACATTCAATGCTGTATGGTGTAAGGGTGTAACATTAATAAACTCTCTGCTCTACTATTTCATTATATAAGGTACTGCAGCAGTCAAATTTGAAGAGGTGGAAGAAAGACTGCTTAGCTTGGATAAATAAAAATAAGCATTTTTTGTTTGTTTAATAGGTACAGGGTTTTAATCTGGCAAGGTTAAAATGATTCTTCTGAGATTTGGCTGCATAATGATATTATTATTATGTTACTGAAAAATTCATATACTTAATAAAGTTTAAAATTATAAGTTTCATGTTATGCATATTTTATCGCAGTATAAAATAATCCCTTGCACCTCTGAGGTCCTTTCCAATTTTCTTTTAAACTTGGTATATTTCTGTATCCACCTTAAAGTTCTAGCTCACATAAAATTATATTCATGTATGCATGCAAATGATTATTTGGAATATTCCTTACACTTTTCCCATAATAAAAAACCAATTGCTTAAGTATCATTTACGATTGGATTTTATCCAATTGTAAAGGTTAAGGCAAGGTTGCCAATTCATGCTAAATAGCATGGGTAAGGCAGAATGTCAGCTCCATGTGATTGTACTCAACACTTCCAGTAATAAGTCAATAGACACAATTAAAAAGTGTAGCAATTAGGAAAAGATAAAAAGATGAACTTCACAACTGACTGAGCCATGATATGACTGCAGAAATTCATAAAGGATCTAATAGCTGAAAGAGAAATCAGAAGTGTGCCATAGTCTTACAATGCAATAGTTGAACACAAAATTAGTGACATTTGTAACCATTAAAGAAGAACATTAGGAAAAAGAATTTAAAATACAGCACAATTTGCAATTATCACAAAATAAACTACATTATAGATTTAAAACAGCTAAAAACCAAAAAGCTCAGAATGCATATTTAAAATTTGATTAAAAAATTAAAGAGAATTAAGCAACCAGATAAAAGCAACTTGCTTATAGAAGTTTCAACAGGTGCTAAATAAAAAATAAATGACACGTAAATTTACAGTGATTCCTCTTAAGGTCCTAGGAAATACATTCATAGAAACACAAAATGCTTTTGATAAAATGAAATGGAAAGGCACACCTGTCTTTGGGCAAATATGTTTTTTTTTTGGGGGGGAGGGGTTCATTTTGTTTTGTTTTTTGTTGTTCTGTTTAAGAAACATGGGAGGATTCACTTTGCTGAACATTAAAGCATAGTACATAGTTATAGTAATCAAAACAGTAGGCCATTGTTTCGGTGGAGAAATAGCAGCCCCACACACTTATGTCCAACTAATTTTGACAAAATCATAAACAAAGGAAATTTGAACTGGAAAGGACAGTATTTTTCAAAGGCAGGGATGGGTACTTTTGCCATTACAGAAAGCAGTATTATGTAAGGGATGTTTCAAAACAGATCAGTCTCAAAATGTGAAACATAAAGTTACAGATAATTGTGAAATATAAGATCATTGTCTTTTAAGACTCACTAAAATAGTTTGAGGATTTTATCAAAAGCACAAACTGTAAGTAAAACATCTTAAAAAAGATGACTGCAAAGTTTAAGCGCTTCTGCTCTGTGAAAGACCAAGTCAAACGATTAGGTATAGACTAGGAGAATCTACCGACAAAACACATTTCCAACAGAAGACAAAACCCTACAATAAATAAAAAGCTGAACACTGAATTGCAAAAATGAAGCAAACCGTCCAAATAGAAACTGGATATAACATATAAAGATACATACACTAGCAAGGTATACAAACAGCAGTAAGCATACAGAAAATGGTTATATTCATGATACTTCATGGACATATCAATTAAAACCACACAAAAAATACCTTTGTTGAGTAGAATGGCTAAAAAATATTAAATAGCCACAGAATCAGTGCTCCCAAGAAAACAATGAAACTAAATTATATATTTTTGAAACTGGTGGTATCAGCATATCATGGTTCAAAAAGGGATGGTTTCTTACAACTTAAATTCTAACACAAAGTTTTTAGTATCTGGGAGAAAAAAAGACACGACCAATGACACACTTGTGTTTAAAGGTGCAAGAGTTTTTGGAGCAGCTTCACTGCAAGAATTAAAATGATGGCCTAGGGGCTAAAGTCCTCGATTTGAACTCACCGGGATCACATATGGGTGCTGGTTTTAATCCCAGCAGCTCCACTTCCAATCCAGCTCCCTGCTTGTGGCCAGGGAAAACAGGAGAGGCTGTCCCAAAGTCTTGGGACCTTGCACCCGCATGGGAGACCTGGAAGAGCTCCTGGCTCCTGGCTCCTGGCTTCAGATCAGCGCAGCCCTGGCCATTGCAGTCACTTGAGGAGTGAATCACCGGACAGAAGAATTTCCTCTCTGTCTCTCCTCCTCTCTGTATATCTGACTTTGCAATAAAAATAAAAATAAAAGTAAATCTTAAAAAAAATTCACTTCAACAATCAAGATAAACAAACTTTGGTGGATTCAAATGAATAGTGAGTGTGCACAGATTTTAGCCACGTCAAGATGCCAGAAAAACAAAAGACCATATTCTGAAGAACACTCTGAGAAAAATGGAACAGAGAACAGAGAGAACAGTAGAAGATGGGCACAATAGAAAATTGCCTGTACATGTCTTTCTTCCACTACAAACTGGATTTGTTCTTATTCTGGTTATTGAGATCAAAGCATGAAATACAAAAGGCCAATACACCCAGGGAAAAAAAAATTACATATCACTGTCTGTCAGGGAAATACAAAGCAATAATACAGTGAAGTGTCACCTTACCCCAGTTAGAATGGCTATGTATTAAGAGACAGAGAGAGAGAGAGAGAGAGAGAGAGAGAGAGAGAGAGAGAGAGAAAGGAGGAAAGAAGCAATAAATTCAGGAGGCAAGTCTGTAGAAAAAAAAGAAAAAAGGTACCCAAATCAACTGTTGGTTGCAGTGTAAACCAGTACGACTAATATGGAAGACAGGTTGGAGAATCCTGAGATCTGAAAACCAGAATCCAAAAGACAAACAGCACATTATTTACTCTGATTTGTGGTAGCTGAAATGCATAGTATAAAATGTATTCTATGTGGGTGAAATGAACATCTTTTCAGTTGATTACTATTAGTGGTTCTTGCTTATATTCCTGCTCAGAAGCAGTCTTTCTACTTTTTACTTACTGAGTTCTAAATGGAGCATTAAGCCTTTGGTTACAAAGTAAATTTAAAATATATCACTGCAAAAATTGAAACACATTAGACAAGGGAAAGAGAGAGGAAAATACCATTTTATTCTTTTGTTAAGCATTTATTTATTTTGATTGGAAAGCCAGACATACAGAGCAGAGACATAGAGAAAGATCTTCCATCTGCTGGTTCACTCCCCAAGTGGCTGAAACAACAAGAGCTGAGCCGATGTGAAACCAGCAGCTAGGAGCCTTCTCCAGGTCTCCCATGTCCAAGCCAGTGTCCCAAGTTCTTGGGCTGTATTCAACTGCTTTTCCAGGCCATAGGCTGGGGGCTGGATGGGAAGGGGAGCCCCTGTAGAACTGGCTCCATATGGGACCCCAGTGCATGCAAAACAAGGACTCTAGCCGCCAAACTACCACACCAGGCACAAAATATCATTATATTCTTAAAATTGTACCTGTCACAGGAGCTTGGCATAGCACCCTAGTGTCTAAAATCTTCACCTTGCAACTGCTGGGATCCCATATGGGTAGCAGTTTATTTTCCAGCTGCTCCACTTCCCATTCAGTTCCCTGCCTGTGGCCTAGGAAAGCAGTAGGGGATGGATCAAAGCCTTCTGACCCTGCACCTGTTTGGGAGACCAGGAGGAGGCTCCTGGCCTGTATTTCATAACTGGTACTTTGGTGAAAGAAAAGCAGGAAATGAGTGAAAATTGGTTTATATGCTCATCAACAATAGAAAAATACATTTATATAAGGTCCAAATCTCTATTTGTGGTTGACCTAGTCTTAATCACCTCTGCTAATTGCTGGCTTCCTATTACCATTATAGATTTCCATATATGCATATATATGAATGAATATGTATATTCACTTCCCATTTACTGTTTTATGTATTTTAAGCACACCCTACAATGTAGCATTATTGTTTTTTCTTTCCTGATGAGCAACACGGCTTATCAAGGTTAAATTATTCCTCAAGGTACAGCTACTAATTAGATGTGTTCATTTTTATAACTGAGCTTGTAACCTCGCCACAGCTAGTACTAATAATTGCTTGTTGAAATAATTTTAGACTAGAGCAGCCGGGAGTTGACTCAAAATCAGAACTGAATGAATGCCCTGTGATAAAAATCAAGGCC